TCCCACGTCATTGTAGTTGTGCTTTTAAAGTTGTAGCAACGTTTTGGCAGAATCTCATCTGCCATCATCAGGCTTCTGTATTGTGTTCGTCAGACAGAATACAGAAGCCTGATGATGGCAGATGAGATTCTGCTGAAACGTTGCTACAACTTTAAAAGCACAACTACAATGACGTGGGAAAATACCCGAACAAAGCTGAATACCATACGTACGTACATACGTACATACATACATACATATATACATACATGTGTGTGTGTGTGTGTGTTTTCTTAAGTTTTCGCGTGTATTTATATATATGGTATTCAGCTTTGTTCGGGTATTTTCCCATGTCATTGTAGTTGTGCTTTTAAAGTTGTAGCAACGTTTCGGCAGAATCTCATCTGCCATCATCAGGCTTCCGTATAGTGTAGAAGCCTGATGATGGCAGATGAGATTCTGCCGAAATGTTGCTACAACTTTCAAAGCACAACTATAATGACGTGGGAAAATACCGAAACAAAGCTGAATACCATATATATGTGTGTGTGTGTAGGGTTGCTATTTTCTTTGGAGTTTTTCTCCTGAAAATTGAAAGGAGGAAACTATAGTGTAATTAATTAGAGTGATAAAATTGTGTTCATTTTCAGTGCCATGATTTGATTCACTTTTTGGTTCAGTTTACCAAACTGACCCTATTTACAAAGTAAAAATGAGAAAGGCCTATAGATGTGGCCCAAGATTTATTTATGAGAAACTTTTCTTTTTCATTTTTCTTCCTTTCATATTCTTCTAGCCCTATAACAACCCAATGACAAACATTATATTAAGAAAAGCTCTTCAGAACCTGAATATGGGTCTTCATGGCCTACATCTGACACTTAGACCAACCCACTCTGCTAACTTGTACAGCTTTATAATAACCTTTATGTTTAACTTTTAAGAGCTATTGATACCACATAATCATTTCATATTTCTTTGAAACAAGAAGTAATAGAGCAAAAGGGATGGAAACTGAAGGAATATGAGAAAGAGAGAACATGAAACATTTCATTTATTTTGAGAAATTCAAGCTCTTAGAGATACAATAGTCATTAAGGTGAAACTGCAGTAAATAAGAACCAATTTGCATCCAAATGAAGAAGCAAAATTGAAGGAAGTGCCTCATGTGATACAGAACAGTAATTGGGATTTAAGGAAGCTTGACAAATACTGAAAACAATATGATCTGGTAGACAAATTAATAGAGTGTAATTCTCACAAAAGAAAGGAAAAATGCAGAATTGAGTAAAGGATATTTTGAAAAGTTGTCACTATATATTTAACATGATCTTATTGAAATGCTCAAATAAGGAAAATTTGCTTTATCTTCTTAGGAATTATGATAAGTTCTCCTGGATCTCACAATGAAATAAGAATTTCCTTACATAGGATCTTCAATAAACATTGATCTGGGGTGAACCTGGAAAGACAGAGCCTTGAAAAAGGAGACAAACTGAGAAGAGATCCCTCCAATGATAAAGTTACCTAGCTGGTAATATTCATGTGGGATTTGGAGGGCATCAATCCTGTTGCAAATAATGGGGTGCATCTTACATTCAGTTTGGGGCACAAACACCAGCCATAACATCAGCAGACATAGCAACAAAAAATCATTGCAAATATAAAAATGAACCTGTTTCCTTGAAAATAATATTTAATATCCTATTCTAACTCATTATACCTAATGTTAGTTTTCCTATACCAATCCATCTTCAACAATTTTCCATTTTCCTGCTTCCTATCCATGGAACAAATACAAAAATGAAATAAAATGTTGGTGGCTTTCCTTGCCCAGCATCTCTCATCCCCAGTTTTAACATATATCAGAATATATTCTGGTTCTGATTATGAAACTGTTCACTGAAACTTCATACAAACATAAACAAGAAACAACATTACCATCACTTGAGATAGTGATATAGTTCTCAATTAACTCTCCAAAGTGATCACAAGTGACAGAGTATCTGAAGAAAACATGTTTGTGACCTCATCTCATATCTACTCCTCATTGAGAGAGGGAGACTATTTGTTTCTATTACAAGTAAGAAGAAAATGCAACTAGGAAAAGAAGATTTGGGAGAAAGTAAAGAACATGCTTGTGATAAAATAATAATGGATATATTTCTGCAGTCAGAAACTTATGAAAGCATATAAAACTCTCAGAGGAATTCCAAAATAGACTCCATAAAATGATCATCCACATATCCATCTTTCTTGAAAAATGAGTATACTCTGCAAATAGATCTATTGCTGCCTTGTTTTAAAGAGCTCAGTTATTACTATTAACATTGCATGGCAATTCATTTCAGTGTAGTTTTAATTAATCACTTTTTCCCTTTAAGATTTTATTTATTTACTAAATTTTTACACTGCCCATCTCACGTACAAAGTGAAAGCATATGAAAAGAAAAGAATGGGGTTCTATCAAGCCAAAGAAAATTAGTATAATTGACTTTTAAATGGCATTAGTAAGATTTTTCCCACATTCCTTCCTTGCGGCTATGTAGCAAATTATTTAACTAGAATTATCTGGATTGTTTAGATTATATTGTTAATAAGACTTGGGAAACATTACATGGTCATATTAGAAGAGGTTGATACCAATAAGGGAGAATATTTGTAGCTCAGGGTTGAAATGAGAGATTCTTGGTGCTCTCTGAGCTTGGTTGTTTTCTTGCAGACATTTCATTACCCAGACTAGCTAATATCATCAATGCTATCAGAAGAGAAGGAATTTGTATGTTCTGTCATAAAAAAGATTTCTGATATTGTAATGCTAGGATCTGCTCAGAAAGTGGTTGCAGAGAAATTAAACCCCTTAGTGGCTTTTCAGAAAGCTTTAAATTATAATTAATTTGGAGAGAAAAAAAGTAGCTAAATTAAGCTCAGATATATCCATGTAGCATGGAAAGTTCAGGAGGAAATGTTGTATTTTAATCTACTGTCTTTGCAATGGTAAAACCAAGCTGTTTCACTCTATCTTTCAAAACTTCTTTGACTGCTTTATTTCTAAAGCTATAGATAATTGGATTGAGTAAGGGTGTTACTACTGTGTTGAGCATTGTGGCTACCTTGTTGAAATCCATAGATGAGCTTCCAGATGACCTGACGTAGATAAATATGGAGCTACCATAGTAGATTGAGGCCACAGTGATATGTGAACTGCAAGTGCTAAATGCTTTATTCCTACCTTGGGCAGAAGGCATCCTTATAACTGTGACAATAATGCAGACATAAGAGATGGTAGTGATGGCAACAGAGGAAAGCAATGTAAAACAAGATGAGGCAAATTCTAAAGCTTGAACGAGGTGGGTATCTGCACAGATCAACATTGTCAAGGGTCCTGTGTCACAGAAGAAATGATCGATAATATTGGGTCCACAGTAAGGTAGATTTGAAAACTTGAAAACTATCCCAACTACAATGCAAACAAAACTAATGAACCAGCAGAAAACCACCATTAGTAAACATACTTGGTTACTCATAATGGCTGTGTAGCGTAATGGGTTACAAATAGCTAGGTAACGGTCCACCGACATTGCTCCCAGTAGGAGGACTTCTGTGGTTCCTGCAAGAAAGTATAATGTGACTTGAAAGGCACATGCAAAGAAGGAAATGGACTTCTCTGAAATGAGAATGCTGAGCATCTTTGGTGTGACAGTGGTGGTGATGATAATTTCCAACCAGGAAAGATGGCTGAGGAAGTAGTACATAGGGGTGTGGAGGCGGGAGTCTAGGCGGATCATGAGGACAACCAGAGCATTTCCCATTAATGCTAACACATACATGATCAGGACAATGCAGAACAGAGGTAGCTGCATTTTCTGGAGATGAGAAAAGCCAAGTAAAAGAAATTCTGTGACAGCATTCCCTGAGATATTTTCTCTGCTCTTCAGGATCATTGGGTCAGACAACTGTAAAACAAACAAGCAGAAATACACAAAATAATATTGCTTCTATGAATTCTGAGCATAACACAAAAGAATAAAAACAAATTAGGAGAAATTATGAAATAACTTATTATATCCCAAACCAATGAAGAATTTGTTGATTGGGTCTATTTTCCAAACCATCTGAGAGGATATTTTATAGACTACATCTAATCTATCTATATATTATATTTCAAATATATACCCAATTTTCACACACACTTCTACTAGAGTCTAATTTTTATTTGTTTTTCTTCTAAATCAACCAACAGATTTTTTTTTCTGGTGTACAAAAGAAAATATGCAAGTTTAATCTCTTAACATCTACCCGGTTAAACAAAAAATAATAAGATGCTGGTCAGAAGGCTGAATGTATTAGATAGATCCATGTATTAGTTCTTGTTAGCTTGCTGTATGTATTTATTTGTTGTCCAAGAAGAAAATTAGCACACTACTGGCAAATTATGGTGTGAATAGAAGAAAGGAAAATAGAATATTTTCCAACTTCTACTTTGTTATCTCCTCTATGAGAAGAAGAGACTAGTATAAGTAGATAAAAGATAGACAAGGGAACAATCTCTTTCTGGTGGAGATCTTTTTTCAGTAGAGAGGATTTTGGTACAGATGGAGCCTGGAGGACTGGAAAAGTTTGGTGTACTGGAGGGCTGGAAGAGTTAAGCACTTGAGTTTTGAACAAATCACCCACTGAAACTACTGAAAAAACCTCATGAATATGTAGGCATTAGTAGGCATTGTCATGAGTATAAGGCATATCTAAGAAATGATTGTATGAATGAAATACATTTCATACAACTTCACTCCCAAAAGTATCATCCAAATAGAGTGCTGTTGATCATTAATATCACTACTTACCTTCAGGCTCTGGAATTTCCTTGAAGTTTTGAATTCTTCATTCAGCATCTGCAAAATTCTTTATAAGTGGTTAAGTGGGAAACATGCAATAAAAATGATTTGAAATTGTATAATAACATGAATACAAGAGATAGTTGCATATCACTTAGTTGTACTATTTAGCATCTCTATCCATATCTCTTTCTGAATAGAGCAACCTTAATCAGACTATTAAAATAAGAAAAAATAAATAAAAAGCTTTTCTGCAATTCATTTTTCTTGCATGACTTCCTTTTTCAAATTATATTCTGAATTTTTTACAAAATCAATTTCCTGAATGTATTAAGAATGCTGAAGGCATTAACAATGTATACATAACATACAGAAAACATACAGAAAAAAAGAAAACACTAGCTGTTTGGCATGTAATTATTAACTATTACAAAAGATCTGCAGAAGAGCATCACTGACAACTTAAATAATTCTCAGCTATATTTCATTTAAACTAAACTAATCACTTGGGGATTTAAGTAGAAATTTTGGAGATCCAGGCATTTGTACTGTACTGGAAAATTTGTTTCTCAAGACTAAATAAAATTGGCTTCCCACAGTACTGTGACACATTTAACATCAATACCTCTGTTAAATCTGAGAAATGATTAATTGCTATTGATATTGAGGGAGAAAATGAAATTTGTTCTGAGTGAAGACCTTCAGGGACAACTAAGTTCATGAGTTCCATTTTGTTTATCAATATAATAATGAACTCTATAGTTAAAAAGTAAATTACATTGGGGATACACCTGAAGGATTTAGAGACATGCCTGTCAATTTCAAATTATCCAGATAGGATGTTGGGTTAATTTTAATCTTTGAAGGGATGATTTTTTTATTTTTTTATATTTCAAATGTAAAAACTGTCCATCACATTCACAGAGCAACTCTGGGAGGTTTCCAAATTAGGTATAAAAACATAAAAACTGCATATACATACAGTATTATACTGTATTATGAGGCAATTAAAATAAAAATTAAATTAAAAGTTTAAAAAAAGATGGAAGGAAGGCCTTCGAGATGCTAACCCCAAGTGAGTTTACAAAGCCAAGTCTTCAGGCATTTCTGCAAGGCCAGGAAAGTGAGTACCAGCTTTACCTTTTTCAAAGGGTGAAGCAACAGCAAAAAATGCTCTCTTCCTGACCCCACCAGTGAAAATTCTTCAACTGGTAGAGTCAACAAATATACCCTCCCTGCTTCACTAGGAGGGACATGTTGGGTGATCTAATGAAATTGATGGTTCTGCAAGTATCCTGACCCTATGCTATGTAGGGCTTTAAAGGTCATAACCAACACTTTCAACTGGATCCATATGCAAACTAGCATCCAATGCAGCTTCTGTGGCTGACATGGAACATCTTTGGAGCAAACAAGGTTGCTTGTGTGACCTTATTCTCTACCAGCTGAAGATTCTGGATACTTCTAGATACTTTTCAAGAATAGCCTCATGTAGAGTCCATTACAATAGTTCAGAAGGAGGTCACCGGAGTATGAATGATTGAAGAAAAGTATAAGTGTTACACAATATAAAGTTACACAAAGGCCCTCCTAGCCAAAATTGTCACTTATACTTTGAGTAGGAGCCATGAGTTTAGGAGGAGTCCTGGATTACACATTAGGTCTATTTGGGGTAGTGCAACCCATCCAGGAACAAAGATAATAAACTCCAAGATACAGAGGGGGCTGCCATTCACAACCAACAGATGTATCTCTTGTTCCCCATCCAGGCCCTCCACAATCTCTATGCACTGCAAAAGAAAATTCACAGCATCATTCAATCCAGAATGGAGATATATAGATGAGTATCATCAGCATACTGGGAATATCTCAATCCATGGTTATGGATTATCTCACCCAGCAGTTTCATGTACCTGAAGATAGAAGAGGATAGCACCAAGCCTTGCAACATCCCATAAAGCAGAGGCTGTGAACTGGACCCTTCATTTCTTACCAATACCAATTGAGACTGACTTTGGACAAAGGAGGTGAACCAGCACAAAACTACAACACCAAACCACAACTCCCTAAATCAGCCCAAAAGGATGTTCTGGTTGATAGTATTGAGAGCTGCTGAAAGGTCAAGGAGAGCAAGAAGAATATACTTGTTAGGAATAACATGGTTACCTAACTTAGTTTGGGTAAAATAATATATATAAACTATGTTAGTGAGTTTAAGTGTGCGTATCACTTTAACTGTAAAACATGTATTTTGGGTGCGGTTGTAAAATCACCATAAGAGGGAGCAAGAGAGCTCACTGTTTGCTGGCTTTTACTGGATTGCTGACAATGATGGATTGATGGTGATAACTGCAAAGAAAAGAGGTTTGATTTTCTTCATATCTCTACTGCAAAAAAAGATATATTACTGGACTGATTATTTGTAAGTTTACTGACCTCTTTTTCGACACTGGACTTTGCTAACTGATTAATCCCTGGACGGACTGAACTTAATGTATGATATATGGACTGTTTGACTATGCTAACAATCTTACTGGAATAAACTATTTAACTAGCACACTGTATCTGTTTTACTGAGTGTAAGCTACAACAACGTTTATCTCACATATCTGCCTGCCTGACTGACTACCGTTGCACATTCTGCTAGGGTGTATATCCCTAACAATACTTCCTCTATTCCACTTCTGCCACTCATCTAAAAGTGAAACCAACACTGTTTCTTATATCTCGGCCTGAGATCTGACTAAAAAAGAGCCAGATAATCCATGTCATCCATCTGGAATTGCATTGATACCACCCTTAACACTAAACCTTTAAAAAAGGTGAAAGACTAGATAAAAATTGTCTAGAATGGTGATGGCTCCTTGAGGGAAAACACTAGTGCCTCTTTAAAAAGATATCAGAAAACTCCCTCCATCAAGTACCTATCCACATGATACTTCCTGGGTGACCTTGAGCAGTTGGGAGGGACACAATTTGTTACAATTATCTTCTGGAGGACTCTGTCCACATCCACAGATCCAACAGAATCAACTGTTTTCAGATGTTCCCAACCACCTCCACAAAACTTGCACCATGCTTGGCATCCAACTAGAAACAGATTCAGATAATTATATCTTCTGCATGCATAGAAAATCCCTTTGTGTGGCCCTAAAAATGTAGCTCCATTAACCCTGAACAGGCCTGTTGAATGTCATTCTGTGGACATTAGAAATATTGATGCTTTATGGCATTTACCACCAGGAGGTAGGCCTTAATAGCAGTTCTAGCCCATGGTTGATCAGATTCATTCCTTTTTTTCCTCTAGCAATGCTCTATTTATTTATTTATTTATTTATTTGATTTGCCAATTGTTTACAAGATAATAAGTATAAGTGTATACATAGTTGTGAATACATGAAATGGGTACATATAAGAAAAATAAAAGAAGAATAAGAGAAACAATAGGACAGGGACGGTAGGCACGTTGGTGCGCTTATGCACGCCCCCTACAGACCTCTTAGGAAAGGGGTGAGGTCAATAGTAGACAGTCTAAGGTTAAAGTTTTTGGGGTTTGGGGAAGAAACTACAGAGTCGGGTAGAGTATTCCAGACATTGACCACTCTATTGCTGAAGTCGTATTTCCTGCAATCAAGTTTGGTGCGGTTAACTTTGAGTTTGTATCTATTGTGTGCTCTTGTGTTGTTATGGTTGAAGCTGAAGTATTCATTGACAGGTAGGACATTGCAATGTATGATTTTATATACCATGCTTAAATCAGACCGAAGACGGCGTAATTCAAGGTTTTCTAGTTCTAGAATTTCAAGTCTGGTGGCATAAGGTATTCTACAATGAGTAGAGGAGTGGAGAACTCTTCTTGTGAAATATTTCTGGACTTTCTCAATTGTGCTAATATCAGATACGTAATGTGGGTTCCAGACTGATGAACTGTATTCGAGTATTGGTCTAGCAAATGTTTTGTATGCTCTGGTTAGTAGTGTGATATTACCAGAGAAAAAGCTACGTAGGATTAGGTTAACAACTCTTAATGCCTTTTTGGCTATGTAGTTGCAGTGGGCTCTAGCACTTAGATCATTAGAGGTGAGTATTCCAAGGTCCTTTACAGAGAT